CCAAATTCAAACCATCCCTTCGGGACAAGTTGGTAAATGGAAAAAGCAGGCTATGAAACCTTGTACACAACCCCATTTTTGTTAAAATATACACGTGTGTTTATGTATGCAAAGAAATGAAACTCATACAAAAGTTCTGTGATTATCTCTGGGTGGGTGGTGTTGGAGTTACATGTGATTTTTATCTTTCTTTCTAGCTTCTTGTCTGTCTTTTTGTCTTTCTTTTATCTGACTTCTCTATAAAGTTTTTTTTACAGAGAAACTGTATTACAGCTATAAACACAATTCTTTCTCTTCCTCTGAGCCAGGAGTGTCCCCTCCCTTCCTCCGCCGTCCCTCTCTTCTCACACCAGCCAGGCACGTTTCTTCATGCCTTGTCATCCCAGGTTCACAGGTTCTGGAAGGGAAGGCCCTGGAATTACCCACCCTTGCCCCACCCCCACTCAGTACTGACTTACCACTGTGGCCTTTCACAAAATGAGTGCCCCAGGAGTGGGTGAATATCCAGTATGTGAAAATCTAAGCAGATTAAGGAATGACTATTTACGTTACAAAATTATCTACAACGGGGCTTCTCTGAATGATAAACCTTTCTAGTGCATTTAAATTATAATTTTTTGATCAAATTTAATGCACCCCTTTCCAGGAACACCTACAGGACAAAGCAAAGACCCTCACACACCAGTGCATGTCTCCTCCTCCGTGTTCGCTCATATGTTGGAGACCTTCCTTATGTAAGTATACTCTTTGTCCCAAACTGAACTCAACATTTTTTAAGAGCAGACACTGGAAATTCTCCTTCGCCTGGATCTTTCCACAGTTCCTAATATACACAGGGCTTTGCATGTGGCTTTCCCATGTGCTTGGGGGTCCCTGGGGACAGGCTGGGAGTGAAACCACTATGGGGGCTACTGGGCAGGAGCTGACCCGTTCCTTCATGTGCCCAGTGAGGGGCAAGGATCAGAGTTGTTTGCAGGTGGACAGCTCACCTGGCCAAAGGTGACTCGGGCCTGCTCAAACCCTCTGACCTGCAGTCGTTTCTTGAAGAGGTCCAGGGGATACGTAAGGGTCTTGCTGATGACGCCAGCTCCACTGCCACAAAGCAGGTTTTTGAAGTTCCCTGAACCAGAGAAGTGGGGTTGAGGGGGAAAATGAGAAATGCAGTCTAGGGAAGACAACTTCAAGGTCATGATCCTCCACCATTAAACAAAACCCCACAAGCATCCTTGCTCTCAGAGGAATTTAATCCAGGAGAAGGAGAGAAGGAGAGA